CGTGTGTGTGTGTGTAGCTGTGTGAGTGTAGCTGTGCGTGTGTGTGTGTTGCTGTGTGAGTGTAGCTGTGTGAGTGTAGCTGTGCGTGTGTGTGAGTGTAGCTGTGCGTGTGTGTGTGTGTGTAGCTGTGTGAGTGTAGCTGTGCGTGTGTGTGTGTGTGTAGCTGTGAGTGTAGCTGTGCGTGTGTGTGTGTGTGTAGCTGTGTGAGTATAGCTGTGCGTGTGTGTGTGTATATATTTGGGGTTTTTAAAAGGGTGTAGTTTAAGTTGCAAAGTAGTTCTTTGCCTTTCGTTAAAATTAAGCGTGTTTGTAAAAATAAGTTATTTTCTGTGACTGATGAGACTTGTGAATTTCTTTTGTCCTGAACAGCAGTCCACCAGGCAAAATGGACGTCCTCGGGGGCTAATTAAGATTTTATATACTTTTGGAACAGTGGGGCATAATTATTGGTACCCTCTTCCGACTAAGCTGTAACAATTTAAAAGTAGCCCTGCCGTGGGGTCAGGACCCAGGTGTTGGGTTCTTGATTCCACATTGAAAATCTGAGCCAATAACTACCTTTCTCTCTCCACAGATGCTGCCTGGGTTGCTGACTATGTGCATCAATGCCTGTTCTTCTTTTGGAAACAAACTGGCTCATTTCCCATGATTTTTCCACTAATATGAAGTGCACCTAATGCCCAATGTATGTGGCTGGTGAGTTAGGGTCCCTGTCAGAAGTGGGAATCAGAAAAATTGCCCCTTTAATGGGGTAGGACCATGTCTGTAATCTGCTTATCTCCAAAGGGCACACAATAGCCATTTAAAAAAATGTAGTAACTAGATTAGGCAAGAAAATCAAACATGTAGTTTGCTTAGTCTAGCATTTAAGTGTCTTCATTTGAACTGATAAATCCCTTTAGGTGATGCCAATCCAGATTTGTTATATAATTACATAGTATTTGAAGAATAAGTGAAGGTACATTTGCAGCCAATATGACACACAAAGTATTATAAACTCCTTAATTTACAGTCACTTACAAACATATTTCCTCAAGATCTTTACACAGTGGGACAAAATATGGTTAAGTTGATGACACTTTTTAAAATTTATTTATGGGTCATGGACATCATTAGCTGGTCAGCATTTATTGCCCATCCCTAGTTACCCAGGGGGCAATTAAGAAACAGCCACATTGCTATGGCATCTGGAGTCATACATAGGCCATATAGCTAAGGATGGCAGATTTCCTTCCCAAAGGGACATCAGTCAACCAGATGAGGTTTTATAATTAGGCTAGTTTTTATATATTGAATTCACATTTCACCCATTTGCCATGGTGGGAATTGAATCCATGCTCACAGAACTATAGCCTATGGAGCTAGATTACAGTCCAATGCCATTACCACTGTGCCACTCCCTCCCCCCTCCTTGAGTGGCAGAATCATTACAGCACAGAAAAGGGCCACTGACACACTGTGTTGTCCACCTGCTTCCCGCTTCCTCACCCCTTCTCCGTTCCTTGCATTCTGATAACTCCTTCTCTAATTTCCCTTTGACGGAAAATAAATCTTCTGTTTAATGATCTGATCCACTCCCCAACAACATACTGGGTTTCAGGAATGCAAACAAACACTACCTCTGAACCGAGAGTGATGCTTCCGGAAGGGAACATTCAGTGGGTCACGTACAAATTTAACAGGGATATTGACAATCCTGTTCCGTGCCAAACAGTCCGGTCAGGAATAATCACAGGGAAAATCGGAGGGAACTTACTTCACACAGAAGTACAACACAACCGGTCCTGACTTTTTCGGGAAGTCGTGCTCTAATACTCTGCGATCCAACTGCAGCCAGCTGAAGTGAGCCCTGGAGGAAGAAGGCAGGACAGCGTTAGTATATATATGAACTAAGCCAAAGATATCTTAGCTCAAGAAACAGAATATCACGTCAGAACAACTGTGCAACCAGAAAGCAGGTACTTCAGCACAGGACGTGCTGGATCTGCAATTCAGAAGAAGAATTCTGGAGAACATATCCCTCATCCAAATGTCATTTGGTTTGATTTCTATGTTTTTCCTGACATGAGGCCAATCGTTTGGTGATATTTTTAACTGGGATTTAATTGCCCTGTGGGAGGTGGGACCACAGCTGGGGAAGTCGGGGCACTGGGATAACAGGGAGATGTGCTGGGTCCCCATTCTGTCCTGCCAGGGTCAACTGGGTGACAAATGGCTGCATGCTGCCATGGGACAGGGGGTGTGGGCACGGGGCAGCACGGTGGTTCAGTGGTTAGCACTGCTGCCTCACAGCACCAGGGACCTGGGTTCGATTCCACCCTCGGGCGACTGTCTGCGTGGAGTTTGCACGTTCTCCCCGTGTCTGTGTGGGTTTCCTCTGGGTACTCCAGTTTCCTCCCACAATCCAAAAGATGTGCAGGATAGGTGGATTGGCCATGCTATATTACCTATAGTGCCCAGGGATGTTTAGGTTAGGTGGGTTAGACATGGGAAATGCAGGGGTAGGGGAATGGGTCTGGGTGGGATGCACTTTGGAGGGTGGTGTGGACTTGTTGGGCCAAATGGCCTGTTTCCACACTGTAGGGATTCTATGATTGTGAAAGGGGCTCCCAGTATTATTTTCCCAGCAACGTGATAATCCTCTGCCAAATGTGCAGGAAGCCATACAAGGGGCTGTGAGCAGCAAAGGCAGATCCTACTGTCTTTCGCCCAGTGAAGCATCTCTCCCTCTGGCTGACAGGCCAATCTATCCTGGGCAATCCAGAACTTTAAACATTATATACCTCCCCGAGGTCGCCTACCTCCTGTAGCAGCATCTGCCTCTCCCAATGGGGATACTCAGGCTGCAAAGCTGCCTACCCTTTTTCTGAAGAAGGGTCTAGGCCCGAAACATCAGCTTTCCTGCTCCTCTGATGCTGCTTGGCCTGCTGTGTTCATCCAGCTCTACACCTTTTATCTCTGTGCCCTCAGATGGGGCCGTTAGCACTGGGAACTGCCCACCATCCTCACCGAAACTGGACAAATAGGGGGCCACCCAGGATATAATGGCCAAGCCAGGCTCACTGTCATTAAGAGAGGACCCTTAACCCCTGTCTGGTCCTCACCCCATGGTCCCAGAGCTCTTGGGAAAGTGTAGCTGTTAACTTAGTGATTTTATCATCAGAAATGAAATACTTCAGAACTCAGAATTAAAACAACAAATGTTAATAATAAATGATACAGAATTCCACTAACATGTAAACTCCATTTTGAATTCTTTAGGTCTCCCACTCTCTAAAAATACTCCCACCCTTTCCAAAGGGTGATAAAATACTGATTGTGAGATCTCCCTGACATGTTTATGATGCCAGTTCACTGGCAGAGACAGAATGCAGCATACTTTACCGGGAAAGTCCTAAAGACTTCAGCACAGTAAAGGATTATTCCTTTATTTGTGGTTTTTTCATGACTCCTGGTTCTGGACTCCCTGGTCAATGGGAACATCTATGAGATTGCCACACTCTTTCTAGACTCCAGTGAATCTAATCCTGACCAATCCAGCCTCTCACCATACAATAATCTTGTTCTTGCTGTTGAGGTAGATAACATCACATTTATCCTCATTATACTTCATCTGCCATGTATTTGCCCACTCACTCAACTTGTCCATTGTATAAACTCAACATGTGTTTTCTAAACCTGAGGGTATCTGCTTGCCATGTTCGAACTGATACCAAGTTCCTAGCTCCCAGCATCCATGTGCTTATTGACCTACAAATGGCTCCTAGTTAAGCAATGCCTCCATTTTAAAGTTTTCATCCTCAGCATCAAATAGCTCCATGGCCTCACCCCTCTCTATCTCAGTCATCTCCCCCGACTTCACAACATTCAGGGTTATCTGTGGGCTGACCTCTTTAGGATCCCCAATTTTAATGGCTCCACCATTAATGGCTGCCCCTTCAGTCACCCAGCCAGGTGCTGTTTTCTCTAATGGTCGGTATCCTAGGGAAGCACAAACAAAGTGACACTCTAAAGCTCTCCCTGAAGCCTGGCAACAGTGATATTAACAGCCAGGAGGAGGCTGTTATGTTCCAACAACAGCTTGTACATCGAGCTGTGTGATGCTTTGAGTCTAAAAGCCTTAATGATGAGGCAGAGAAGGAAAGACAACGAAGCAGACCCTCCTCTCTGGGACCCACTGCCTACAGCGATGTCCTGCCTCGTGTCCCTAAAGGTCAGTTGGCTTCTTATTCAAATGAAGACCCTCGGCAGAAATATGTGAACCTCAAGCCTCATCATCCACGAATGTAGAGGTAGTTGACAAAGCTCTGGAACTCTTCCCAACCATTTCCTCATCACAACCTTTCTTTAGGATCAAAAACAGAAATTGCTGGAGAAACTCAGCAAATCTGGCAGCATCTGTGGACAGAAAGCAGAGTTAATATTTTGGGTCCTGTGACCCTTCTTCGGAACCCCTCTGTAGAGGTTGTTTCTAAAACCCTACTTCTTTACCCAAGTCTTTTTTTGTCATCTGACCTAATGTAGTCTTAAATGATTCGGTGTCAGGTTTTGTTTTATGCTGTTTCTATTGCTTTGTAAAGTTTTATTACACTAAGGTGGTTATATAAACGTACACTGGTGAAAAGCATAGCAGAGGAAGTTGGGCAGATCAAATAAGAAAGAAGAGGTGTTGACACTGAATGCCATAGTTTGAGGGCCAGGAAGGGAGTTGCAATAAATAAAGTGCTTCTGATTCAGCACATAGTCCATATATTATTAGAATTCCTGCGTCCACTCCCTGTTAAGAGCTTTAATTCATGTGCCAGTTTTGCTCATGCTTTTATGTCAACATTTAAAAATTAAAAGTGCCTCTGCAAACATACGTAATGCATATTCCCAACGTAAACAATTTTCAATCACACCTTCTTGAAGAACCAACTGAATCACTCAAAGATGCTTTTTGAAAATGCCTGTCCTTTTAAATCAGGAACAGCACTCAGAATCAGTTTCTAAATAAAATGCATGATTTAAAAATTACATATTTCACAATAACATCACCACGTTACTGAAGTTCTTGCATGGAATGTGGGTGTCACTGGTAAGACTGTTTCTCATCCCTCAATGCCCTCAATCTGGGCCATTTCAGAGGGCAGCTAAGAGTCAACCCCATTGCTGTTGGCCTGGAGTCACATACAGGCCAGACCTGGTAAGGATAGTAGTTTCCTTCCCTAAAGGACATTAGTGACCCAGAATGGGCTTTCACAACAAATTATGATATAGGTTGTACCTCCCTAATCCAGCACTCTCTAGTTCGGCCATTCCAGTCTCCCCTTTAGGGGCATCTAATGGCTCTGCCTCAATCTTTATTTCTGTTACTTGTTGTTACACTTTCTCCAGTGTAGACACCCACAATCCTGTTTTTGATGTCCAACTGGAAAACCATCCACTCGACATGTGATTGATATGTGTCAAGGTGAGGTCTTTACTCAATTGTGAAATAAAGCGCTTTGAGAATGGAGTGATGTGGGAATAAATACTTGATATTTTTGTTGATTTACGAGATTTCACGAGGATCTTGGTCACTGGCCATGGTTTGCAGATGAGTAACTCATTTCCAATTGTTTTCACCCTGACACCCTGTCTCCCAGCAAAGAGCCAGGTGCCAGGAGGAAGGTTCAGCCTGCAGGTTGGCCTGGTCACCATTACTGTGACCAGCTTTATATTAACTGCAACTAATTTAACCTAATTTAACCAAGGAGGCATGGTGGCTCAGTGGTTAGCACTGCTGCCTCACAGTGCCAGGGATCTGGGTTCAATTCCACCCTCAGGTGACTGTGTGGAGTTTGCACATTCTCCCCGTGTCTGCGTGGGTCGCCTCCGGGTGCTCCGGTTTCCTCCCACAGTCCAAAGATGTGCAGGTTAGGGAGGATTGGCCATGCTAAATTGTCCCTGTGATGTGCACGTTCGGGTGGATTGGCCATGCTAAATTGTCCCTGTCATGTGCACGTTTGGGTGGATTGGCCATGCTAAATTGTTCCTGTAATGTGCAGATTAGGTGGATCAGTCATAGTAAAAATAAAATGGATGGGGTTATGGGGATTGAGGGGTGGAATGCTCTTTGGGGGGGCGGGGGGGTTGGTGCAGACTCAATGGGCCGAATGGCCTCTTTCTTTGTAGGGATTCTATGATTCTAATTTAACCACAGCTGTGTGGTGGTGAGATTTGAACCCACATTCCCAGGGAATTAAACCGTACATGTGAGTGGATTATGACAGCAGTGACACTGGCACCATCATTGGAGAGAGCTTTGACCTGTGTGACCAGAGGATGTGTTATGCCCACAATCACCAGCATTCCGCAGGTAGATCAACAGGGAACAGGCTGAGTGTTTCCAAAAGATTTTCCAGGAAACTAAAGATTAATCTGTCAACGCTTTACAGAAGGCATGCCAGGAATTTCATTAAATCTAAATAACAAATACTGTTTTCTATTTTGAATTGTTTGGACAGAATGAACCTGTGATCAGCCTTTCTTATCTCTTTAAAATCAAGGATGGAAACGTATTTAAAAATTCTCTTTCCTGTATACTCTTGAGATTCATCTCTTTTTTTTACATTAAGAACATCGGACAGTGTACGACAAATGCTTCAGATTTTTCATTCAGTCATTTTTGTTTGCAGAAATTTCTGCTCATTAATCCTGAATAGACCCACAATATCACTAATGTCGCACTAAATTGTTCCCTCTTAGTACATATTAGGAGTGTGTGTCAGGAAATAGCAGCCAAGAAGCCTGTGATTTTCTGTTCATTCACTTGAAGAAGCAGAAAATGAAGCCTCCGAGTTTCCACGGCAACACTGCAGTAGATGT